CTCCAGATCCTCCTGGATCTGTTCCCTATCCTCCAGTCTGCTAAATTTGCCCCATAATTTGGTATCATCTGCAAACTTGGACAGGGTGCTCTCCACGCCCTCATCCAAGTCACGGATGAAGACATTGAATAGCGCTGGTCCAAGGATCAAGCCTTATGGAAGTCCACTGCCCACATCTTTCCAGGTCGATACCGACCCGTCCTCCACCACTTTCTGGGTGTGACCCCTAAGCCAGTTTGCCACCCACCTGACCGTGTAATCATCTACGTCACAGCCTGTCAGTTTATTTACGAAAACAGAATGTGATACCGTATTGAAGGCCTTCTTAAAGTCTACGTAGATGACATCTACCTTGACTCCTGCATCTAAGCATTTTGTGACCTGGTCATAAAATGAAACAAGATTAGTCAGGCAGGATCTGCTTGCAATGAATCCATGCTGATTTCTTTTCAGCATTATTTCCCCTGCTGGGCTCCCGCAAATATGATCCTTAATGATTTTTTCCAGAGTTTTCCCAAGGATAGAGGTGAGACTAACTGGCCTATAGTTTCCCAGTTTCTCCCTCCTCCCCTTCTTGAAAATAGGGACCAAATTGGCCCTTTTCCAGTCCTCTGGGACCTGACTGGGGCACCATGAGTGCTCAAACAGCTGTGCCAGTGGCTCTGGTATGACACTGGCCAATTCCTTCAGCACCCTTGGATGAAGTTCATCTGGGCCCACTGATTTGAACACATCCAGCCCCTCCAAGTGCCCCTTCACTAAGTCTAGGCTAACAGTTGTGTCCCTCCTGTGTCTATCTATGGTCCAATTGGGAGATTTGTCTTGGTCTGTGTCTAGGAATAGAGATGCAAAGAACTCATTTGGCAACATCTGTTTTTACCTTAAAAGCCCTGCTTCCTCTAGATAGAAGGATGCTGTAGCTCTGCTTGCCCTCCTACTGCCCAAGACCACTGCTGCCCCTCTGGGGTGGCAGGCACCAGTGCCTACCAATCACTCTCTCCAGTCATGCTCAGACATTGTTTGTCCACCACTAACAACCTGCCTGGTGAACCACCTTTCTGAGAAGAGGAGATGGCAGGATGTGAGTGACTGGGCTCACCAGCAGGCTCCTGGAGGTGGGAAGAAGCAGAGGAACAACTTCCTATTGTCCGCTGGTTGGAAAGCCCACCTGTGCAGTGCCTTTGTAACACTCCAGCCTGGAGGCTGTGAACATATGTACAACCCACACAGGGGTAATTTTTAGTAGCACTATTAAGTGCTGCAGCACTTGTAGCACTGCAAATGCATGTCTGTCCCTGGCCCTTGTCATGCCTTTTGGACACCAGTGGTCAAGGGTGTTGTTTGTTAACCCAAACCCAACTCTGACTACAAAAACTAGGGGTCAGATTCTACTTCCTCTCTTTGGCACAAATATGGACTGAAGTTCCTAAGTGTGATTCTCATTCTATTCTGTTCCACCCTGCTCAAGTCAGTGAAGGTGAGCTAGTCCTCCTCCTCTTCACTGCCTTTTTGTGACTAAATTTCAAAAGTAAGATGGTGGTGTGATTCAAAAGTAGATGCATCAATTAATTTTCAGGACTTGAATGGGGTGGAACAGAATCAGAAGTCTGCTGAGATGGCCAATAGGTGGAATAGGCTTTGGCTCTACTAGCATTCTTTTAGGCAAGGATCTCACCTTTCTGCTGTTAACAGTTGAAAAGTGAACTGCTACAAAGTATACACCATAGAGCTGCTGCATCTTAAGTCTGTGCAAAAGCTGGAACATGCTATGGAAATCAGCTGTACATTTGGCAAGCAGATCAACCATTATGAACAGATGTGCTCTTAAATTTTCACTGGTTACCAGCTGGCTTTGACTTATGAAGTTCTAACTGGCCTGGGACCTGCCTATTTGAGAGTCTCTCATAGGTTCATACAGACCCGGTTGGAGTCTGGCACAAAAACTGGAGTTCTCTGGCATGTTATTCTCTAGAGGGGTCCCTTCATTTTGGAATTTGCTCCTACTCTTGTAGTCTCAAGTACCCACCATGTTGCCCTCTAGCCCACATATTCAGGCCCATCTGTTTTTCCAGTCAGTAGAAAGGAGATAAAGAAGACTGGATGTGGTGGTAGTATTGCACTTACCAGTTCCTTTTGTCTGTAGAATATTACGTCCTGTAAGGATATAAGAGTAGAATATGCATTCTGCAATTTGAATTCATGGCAGGATGGCCAGCACCTTGGATGCATGCCTCTCTTTGTGTTCTTATAAACAAACAACAAAACCAAAAAGGCACTTGCCTAAAAGGATGCTAGAACCCTTGCTCAATAGTGTGTGTTTGCAGTTTCTAAATCACAAAACTGCAAGGACCTCTGAGCTAGATGTATTTGGTTGCTATGTAGTGATACATACATAAGGAAAAATGTGCAAAGTCCTTAATTTTACAAGACTGTTGTTTCAAATTTAAAGGTTGCCAACTGCTGCAGCTTCCTGAGCCTGACGAAGGGTTTTTGAACCCGAAAGCTTGCTTAATAACTATTCTCCAACCATTTGGGTTGGTCTAATAAAAGATATCAAATTCACCCAAGGAACCTTGTCTACCTATATCCTTAGACCAACACGGCTACAACCTAAACCCCTGCAAGGTTGCATTAATAATTTTTGCATTTAAATTTTCCTTGGTGTTTTTGATAAAGAATAAATTAAAAAAGTAAAGTGTTGACTATCCTAAGGGATAACAGACACTAAAAGCCCAAAACACTTATTCTAAAATAGACAAGGACAGAAGAAATACCAGTGAGAAATGTCCATCATTTCAATGCTACTGAACTGAGTTCTCTATTTGAAACTGTTGTTCCTTCCTCAGAGGAACAGTTTGAGCCCTTCCTCAAACTATAAAACAAACAAAAACTAAATAATATATTTGAACAATGCAGCAGATGAAGCAACCATGCAGCTACATGGAAGCAAGAGGAGGCAAGTGTGACCACAAAACCAAAGGGAGCACTGGGTTCTCCTTTCCAGGAGTGGATGGACATATTTAGATCAAACTAAAGGCCAAATCTTTGATTGTGTGTCTTGATTTTTAACACATTCACAGAAGTGCATAGTTTAATGTTTAACTGTGTATTTAATTGCCTTATTGAAATAGGTGGTAAGAGAATTTGTAAAGTATAATTGAAAAATTCATGCTTGCATGAAAATGTATAAATTAATTAGTACATTTTAAAACACATACAAGACAGTAATGGCTCTTTCTGGAATAGAAACTCTATTTAAAAGGAAATAAAGGAACTGCCTGTTATGTTCACCAGAACCCTCTACAGCAATACACAAATTGCTTTTCAGCATACCACAAAGAGGAATATGGTATGAGGATAAAAGGTTGGTTACCCAGCATCTAGTCAAGTGTGCACGTGCATTCTTCTTTGCACATGAAGAACTCAGCTGCATTTGTACAACTGTAGTTCTTGAGCCCAAGTGTCTATTGGTCTGCACTCCAAAACCTGCAACATGACTGGTACACTGGGCTGGGCTATTGAGCCTCTGCACTCATGGACAAAGATCCCTATTTATCATATACTCCAAATCCTCACACATCACAATTACAAAGCACAAAATTAGAAACACACAGAATGCCACACAGCATTCAACTGATAAAAAGCCTGGGAGACAAGGGCACTGTCTGTACCCTGCCACTGCAACTGCAAATAATTGATTAATTCAGGGGTAGTCAACCTGTGGCATGAGTGTCACAAGTGGCCTGGGCAGCCTGTGTGCGTGGCATGTAACAGATCAGGGTGGGAGACAGGCAGCAGAGCAGGAGATATGGCAAGAAGCAGAAGGAAGAGCAGGAGATCAGGCAGGGAACACAGGGCAGGAAGCAAAGCAGGAGATCAGGCAGGGGAAAAGAATTGGAGTGGTACTCAGGGAGGGAGTGTGTCTAATTTGTGGCAAGCCTGCCAAAAACACTGGCACCCACTGCATTTGTATGGTCAGAGGATCCAAGGAGAGGACCAATTAATTCCCCAGACTAGAAAGGAAGGCAAGAAGTATTTAATCCTTGTGGATGTAACCCAAGGGGAAAATTCCTTTCTACCCTCAAATGTGTTGATTGGTTTGATCTGGAACAGAGCAAGATCCCCCAGCCAGGAGATTTTTTAACACATGTGCAAATGCACCTCAGTCAAAACTCCCAAACATAGCTGTGGCCATGTTCAGTACTCCCAAGGAAGATGGAGGGTGGGCGAGGTGAGGAACGATACCACCTAGCCCGGCACTGTCACAGAGCATGTATAAAAATTGCATGAATTGCACAAAGAAAGCAGACCCTAAAACCAATCCCCAAGGAACCCCACTAGCGATCACTCTCCAGTCTGAAAACCCACTCGTCCACGTAACCCAGTGTAGTCTCCTTTACCTCCCTCCTCATGTTTGTAGTATTGGCCCCCATTCTCTCCAGTTTGGCCAATCATTTCCCACAGGGCTCAATCTCAAAAATCTTTGCTTAAATCTAGATAAACTAAGTCCACTACCTTGCCCTTATCTAAAGGCTATTTATTAAGCCTGGTGTGACCGCCCTTGGATAAAATCAGTGTGTTATTTGTCTTAGTTTCTGTTGGTTTGCATATCTTTGATTATTCTTTCCTCCAAATATCTAAGCCCTTAGTTACTGCTGAAGTCAAGAGTGCTACACTCTTGAAGTCAAACAAATGGAATGAAAGTATTTTAAGAAGGCAAATACTATTTTATATCCATTTAGCTGGTGCTACAAGCAATGGTGCAAGACAAAAGAGGATCACCTGTTTTGGGTTTCTCAGTGTCAGTGTAGGATTCCCCAGAAAGGAATGGGGGTCATAACCTAGTCTCCTCTTTTCTGACCAACATGGTCAGCCCTTTAATAAGGAATGGCCTCTCCATACTCCTTTCTATGGCAGGCTGTGGCTTACTGCCATACTGGAGCCTAAGGAAGTTTGTAGAACCCATACATACTATTTATGGACTGAGACAGAAACCTTACCTTTATCTGTACCACTTGGATTTCATCACATCTGCTTTCGGCAGCAGCAGACTTCCTAGTCTGTCCTCTCCTGTGGCCAAACTTGCATTTGTTCCTCAGAACCTGCTCATCATCTTCAATTGGTCTCCGCACATATTTGAAGCGATCTTTAAGGGCTCGTTTCCATAGCAACTGTACAAGAAAGCCAACATTGTTAGTATCTTTGAGAAGCGTGCTTCATTCCTAAAGCAGGATATTTCCCTCTTTTTCCAGGTAAAGGCATTACTGACAAGTTGTGTTAGACACACATTTTCGGCAATCTTCTTTAACTACACCTTATCTCAACATGAAACGGCCACCTCAAAAAACAGCAAACAATTGTACAAGCTAAAGAATGTGCTTGAAGCCACAGGCAAGCTGCAATTCAGAAATCTCTTTCTCAACTTTATCTCCCAAGGTCAGCAGCATCCTATGAATTATATTTTATACTTCTGCATGAACTGATAATGCAAGAGGGAAAAATAAAAGAATGCTTATTAAAACAAGATGGTAAAAGATACTGTCTGAGGCTCTTCGCTGTTCACTCCCAAACCTATCACCCCAAGCCAAATTTTTCTGAAAATATCAATTGTGTACCTGCTACTAGGGGATGGCAACAACTCATTTTTCTGTTTTTTTTAATGTTTTAAGATATCCAATAATCAGCTTAGAGTACCCCACCCTGGTGTTGTGGACACTGGAGTGAACAGCTGAAAGTTGAGAGTTGCAGGTCATAGCAAAAGCACTCACAACACGGCCATGTCAGATTCCAAAGAATCTGCAAATTCTGCTAAATAACTTGTCACCAAGATATGAGAAAGAGAAAGTCAAGACAGAACTCAAATGGGTCTATTATCCTACGGAGGTTTTTTTTTACTTAGGAAAACATCCTTTAGAATCAATGGATGTTAATTGTAGATCCTCAAAGAGTCGTCTTAGATATTCTGCTTACTTCACTATCATCCTGCTTCATATAAATGCTTCAGTATTTATTGGACCTGAATACCAGCTCATTTTATGTCTCCAAATGGCAGCTAACCAGCTGCAAAACTGCCATTTCTCACAGTTACACAATTCACAACCCTACTCCATGCACAGTGTAGACATGCCACTATCCATATAGCTACTAAACATGCAACAGGTTTCATAGTTTCATAGTTTCTAGGGTCAGAAGGGACCTGGGCAGATCGTCTAGTCCGACCCCCTGCCATGGCAGGAAAGAGTACTGGGGGTCAAACGACCCCAGCAAGATGGTCAGATGGTATCTGGCTGTACATGCAAAGGCAAGTGTAACAGGGAACCCTAGCCCTAATACCAAGAAATAGGGCAGCCCCTTTAAATCCAGAACCTTCCAGGCACGGCTGGCCGGTCAAGTAGGGGTTAAGGATCAAGCTCCACCTGCTGGTCAGGTGACAGGAAGGGGAAGGCCAGAACCATATAAACTGCAAGTGGAGGAAGCCAGAGAGAGAGCAGAGAGGGGGACCTCGAGGACTATGGTGCCGCCGCCGCCGCCGCCGCCTTTTTGGGAAAAATACATCACACTGTGAGACAGAAGGACGATCGCATAAAGTAAGTGGGCACTTTGCCTCTCTTATTTCTTTTTTATTATTTTCATTATATAGCCATAGGAGCCTATGGTTTACATTTGATGTTAAAAAGGCCGGTGGTTTGTGGTTGAGGCTGTAGGGGTGGAGGAGACCTTATTAACACCAAGGGGCACTGTGATAGAGGGCTCGAGAAGCCCTGCTGCACTAGGGGTGCCACACTAGGGCCACGAGCCCAAAGTCGCTTGAAGGCAAGATAGGAGCCTTGAAGCCAGGTCCTAGCGGGTGGACTTAGGTGAAAGGCCCTAACTACAGAAAGAGGGGCAAAGCTGAAAGGGGCTGAGGCCCCAACAGTCTGGCACTACAGGGAGACACAGTGTAGAAGGGTCAGGAGGCCTGGTGTCGCAGAGAGCATGGAACGGAGGGCCTTGAGCCCAAGTGAGTTAGAGAGCTAGAGCCTTGGAGTCAAGCCCTGACTAGTGGGTTTTAGCTGACAGGCCTAGCTAGAGAGAGAGAGAGAGAGCAAGCCCCAATGGCTGAGACCCCCAACATAAAGACACATTTTTAAAACCATCTGCGAGTCACAGGACATGTCAAGGGGAGGTAGGAACATGCATTTTTGCCTTTAAGGTAATACCTCATTATCCTACAGGTGGTGAGACTGGAGCCTGTCTGGGAACCTGTGGGTCAACCTCCCTGTTTCTTAAGAATCAGGTAACTCATAGCATACTCCTAGCAGGCGAGTAAGGGGGTGGGGAAGCTGATCCCCAAAGAAGAAAAATATAGCAAAACTTGATGGTGGCACACTTACCAGCATATTAAAAAAAAAAAAAAAAAAAAAAAAAATGCAACCGAAGCCAGCCCCCTGTCACAGCGGGGAAAGCACAAATTATGAAAATCTACCCAGCAAAAGTCTGTGACTGAGGGGGCAGTAGAGCAAGAAGGACACTTCCATTTTTGCCAAATAGTCAAGTGGCTGGGCTGGGTACATGGTTGAAAGCCCAGAGGTTGCAAGTTTAAGGCCATAATAGATGTGCTCATGGTGCAGCCCTGTCAGATTACAACAAATCTGCAAATTCTGCTAAACACCTTGTCATAAGGACAAGAAAATGGAAAGGAAGTCAAGTGCCCAAGGCAATCGCCCAGGAAGCAGGACAGTCAAGCTCTCAAGTCTTCCTCATTTTTCTGACTTTCCAGCACAGTACTCTAGCTCTGGTTGTACTCCAACCTACAACCTAGGTTTTCCACTTCCTGGGTGAGTGCCCAAACCACTGGGCTAAAAACAGAAAGGAATGTGCTCAATAGACACACACAGGAGCATTTGCATAAGTGAAAAAACAGCAGTTATGCAACTGTAGGTGCCATTTGAGTACTTTAAAAGACTGCCCACAGTCTTTAGATTGCCATCAACTGCATTTTGCCTTTGCATCAATATATGCAGGCAATGAAATATGACAGTAACAAGGGATACAACACAGACAAATGTGAAGTAACTTACAGTCCTATTTTTGTATCTAGCTCCCTTCCCTGCACCAATCTATGTGATTAATTGGACTGTGGTTCCCAAGTGAGATGCTCTACAATGGCTACAATTAGTACGGTAGAATCTCATACTGCCTATGCTTATTCATTATCAGGTTCCATCCACCTGTGGATATTTCTATGTTGATAACAAAAGGAAATATGCTTCCTGTAGTACATCTGAACAGTCCCCCTCCTCACCATACAAGTACATTTAAAAAAAAATCTTCCATTTCTTAGAGAGATGAGTCACTATCGCTTCTCCAACCAAGGGGAAGAGCTAGACTGGGAATTCTTAAGTCAGCTCACGGAGGCAGTTAGGTCAAAGGACGTGGTTACCATGGGTGACCTGAACTTTCCAGACATCTGCTGGGAAGAGCAGTCAGTCAGGTCTGACCACTCACGTAGGTTCCTAGTCAAGATACAGGACCTCCATCTAACCCAGGAGGTGCACAGCCCCACCAGGGGAGATGCCTTGTTGGATCTGATCCTGGCCATGGGCGACGACCTGGTAAGGAGTCTGCGAGTACTTGACCACCTGGGCAACAGCGATCATCACCTGCTGGAATTCACCATCCAATGCAACGTGATGAAGGCCTGCAGCAAGGCAGCAGCCCTGGATTTCAGAAGGGCAGATTTCAATGAGGTAAGGAGAATAGTCAGGGAGGCACTGAGGTCCCGGAGAGGAGGGGAGTTGAGAGTCTAGTAAGAGTGGCCGTTCCTTAAGGAGACAATCCTCCAAGCCCAAAGGGAGGTAATCCCAACACGGATCAAAGGGGGCAAGAGGGCACAAAAGCCCCCATGGCTCATCAAAAGCATCCAGAAACATCTCCTAGCTAAAAAGGAGGTGTACACCCAATGGAAGGGAGGGGCTATCACCAGGGAGGACTATACCTCTGTTGCTTGGGGCTGCAGGGAGGGGGGAAGTCAGGAAGGCCAAAGTAGAGATGGAACTGGGACTAGCTACCCGGATCAAGGACAACAAGAAGTCCTTTTTTAAATACATAGGGGGTAAAAAGAAAGTACCAGGTAACATGGGGCCTCTGTAGGACACGCTAGGAAATCTGGTCATCGCACCAGACAGTAAAGCTGTCCCTGCTTTGCCAAAATGGAGGCAAAGAAATTTAACAATTTCTTTGCCTCCATTTTTCTGAGCAGGGACTGGGTCACACACACCCCCCCAGGACCCCTGTAGATCCCAGAGGAGGTACACCCAGGCCTAGGGTCAGTGAGAACCTAGTCAGGGAACTTCTGGAGGGACTGGACGTATTTAAATCAGGAGGTCCTGACAATCTCCACCTCAGAGCACTGAGGGAATTAGCAGAGGTCATTGCAGGACCACTGGCATGGCTCTACGAGCACTTGTGGTGCTCTGGCATGGTGCCAGAGGACTGGAAAAGGGCCAAGTTGGTTCCCATTTTCAAAAAAGGGAGGAAGGAGGACCTAGGAAACGATAGGCCAGTCAGTCTTACCTCAGTCCTGGGTAAGCTTGAGAGAGTTATCCTGGCGCATGTCCGCGAGGGGCCAGCAGGGGAGATTATGCTTAGGGGCAACCAACATGGGTTCATTAGAGGCAGGTCCTGTCAGACCAGCCTGGTAACCTTCTATGACCAGGCCACAAAATCCTTAGACCTAGGTGTCACAGTGGACGTAGTCTTTCTAGACTTTAAGAAGGCCTTCAACACTGTCTCTCACCCCATTCTCATTAAAAAAACTAGGAGACTGTGGCGGCAATACCTACACAGTCAAATGGGTCACTAATTAGTTGGAGGGCCGTACCCAAAAAGTGGTGGTGGATGGGTCTTATTCGACCTGGAGGGATGTGGGCAGTGGGGTTCCCCAGGGCTCGGTCCTTGGGCCTGCACTGTTCAACATCTTCATCAGTGACTTGGACAGGGGGTAAAAAGCATCCTGTTCAAATTGGCAGATGACACTAAGATGTGGGGAGAAGTGGGCATGCTAGAAGGGAGGAATAGGCTGCAATCGGACCTGGACAGGTTACAGGGGTGGGCGGATGAGAACAGGATGGGTTTCAACACTGACAAGTGCAGGGTGCTGCACCTAGGGCGGGGGAAGAACCAGCAGCAT